GGGGGGGGGGGGGCTATTTATGCTTTCTGAAGTTTTTAGCAGAAACAAATAGCACATGTTCATCATTTAATTTCTTTCATTCTCGATTTGGCTTTTTGTCCTAAATAATTCCTATTTAATTGATGTTAAATATTTTGCAAGTTGCTTTTGTGTTTTATGACAAGTTAATGCAAAAGTTCAACTTGTACTTTCAAATCAAAACCAGCAGAGGTCAGCAAACAACTCATTTAAAGACACCAACTCTCTCGATTTCCATTTGAAGTCTAATCCTCTTAAACATCTACAAAACCTTAATATCACATAATTTATAGAACAGTAAAGCACTAGCTAATAGAGATAAAGCATATCTTGTAGCCTATAACGTTCTGTAATAAAGGCAGCAGTCACTGGAAAGTAATAATTCGCTGTAATTTTTATAGTATCTTTTGCATTTTAAGATCAAGGTTGAGGATGGGAATAGATGGAGAAAACAGCTAAAGCTAACATATTGTGAATACATTACGAGCATATAAAATTTCACTAACAGACCAAAAAAAGGTTTCTGAAAGATTAAGCACTTATAATTATAAAAAAGCCTTCAAAACTGTACCATTAGAGTGGACCCTTGACTATTGGCTTGACTTTGACTATAATTTCAACTACATACTCTATAACCTTTACATGAAAGTTCCAGTCCAGAAGAAAAGAGCATAAGTGTAAGTGGCTGAGCCAGTAGGTCAAAGGTCACAGCTGGGTTTTATGGGGTCATGTTTTAAAAGAGCAGAAGCGCTTAACACAAACTGTCCATTGCACTTTGGACAAGTCAGACGTCCAGCTGGAAGGACAGGTCTTGTGGTGCAACAAGAACCTGTTGAACAATGGAAAAGTGTGCCTTAGCTTAAAGAGCATGTGGGCCATGGGACCTCAAAACCCTTGTAAACGTTCTGACAACTGTACCATTCATTCACACTCTTTTTAGTTCTGTCACATACAAATAAGCACAAATACAATATTTCAAGTGACTAGACAGACTATTCTAGGGTGACCATACATGCCATTTTCCCAGGACGCGTCCTGGGAAAATGGCACGTATGGTCACCCTAGACTATTCAGTCTGCTGCAATCCCAGATGTTTATGTTCGTTTACTAAAGCCTCATAAGACTGTGCTAGCTTCAGTGTTGCTGATATTTTTCTTGCTGTTTTGTTATGACTTTTCATATTGCTTTTTTGTAATGTTCTTGCTTTTTAAATGTATTTGTTAATGACCAGCCTTGTGAAACTCCCTAAGGACTGAAATGCTTTTATGGTATTTTTATTACCTTTGGAGCATAATCTCTGTCATTATATGGGAACAAAAATGTTCATTTTATTTTCCAGAATAAGAAAATAACAGCATACAGCTTAAAACAACATGAAGGTAAGTATGAATTCTCATTTTTGGGTGAACTATTCCTTTAAATCATTTACTTTCCTGTTTCCAACACTTTAATTCATTTTTATTCATTTGCAGCATTTAGACTTTGTGTTTACCATCTGCTTTTCTCATTAGGTGTCACAGCTGTTTTACTGCATTAACCCCTTTTATCCATATCAAAGTAAAAACACTGGGAATATGTTGTGGTTTCATTCTGCCTAATGAGTATCATTCAGTAAAAATATACAGTGTGGAGGAAGAATTGAATTATTTCATACAGACTGTCAACACCTCTTGTAGAGAAACATATGGTGTTATGGCAGTGCTCAATCTTCATCCTGTGAATGTTATTCACATTTTCTTTGATAAGGAGTGGCACGCCCTTGATAAAAACAGTTTAACAGATGGCCTCTGGTTATGTGATTCCTTCACAAAGTCTCGCAGGCATCACAACAGACTGTGTTTAACTTTCTCGGAGTAGAACTTTGGCTTATTATTATTATGTTGATATAAGCAGCCCAGCAGTGGACAGTCAGTGAAGAATAATTCTTGTTAATGCTCAGTAAGGTCACCATAAGCAGAGCCATAACTTGTGGATTATGTCACAGAAGAGCAAAAACAGCCATATTTTCTTTAAAAGATGTAGGCTACAGACAATATTACCCTCTGGTTCTCTATTCAGACAGGAAGTAAGATCAATTTTGCAAATCACGGGTGTTTCTTCATCTGTGGGCACTTCTAGCCCTGTGGACATTTAGAAACAATTTTCACACTCACATAAGTACTATTTTTTGAACAACAGACAAAAGTCACAAATTTACACTATACAAATTTTTTTTGTATCATGTGTAGCATTTTGTGATGAAAATGACTTTTTAAACATTTTTATAAATGGCTCGAACCTCCTTTGTCTTGCTACTTCTAATTTAATAGGCAGCATTTTAATTTAGCCTATGTTTTGCATTATGGTCTATTGCACACACCCTGGACCAGACCAACACGAATTCAAAAGCAAGTTCAAGTAGGGATCAGCTGAATGAAGAAGAATTGAATGCTGAACACACCGAGGACAACAGGACCTGTGCGGACTCCCCGTGTTTCTCTGGAGTACTGTGTG